CTCTCCTACATACCTGACAGCTCCGGATATACCGAGTGACGTCTCTTTTTATGTTTGGCCAGAAAAACTTCTCGCGGGTGAGGAACAGAGTTTTATCTCGGCCAAAATGGCCAGACAGCCCCCCGTCATGACATTCTGCGATTACAGCTAACCTCAACGAACAATCCGGAATACAGATACTCAAACTTTTGAACAAGAAATCTTCCTTGAGGTAGAACAGTTGATAAGGAGCTTGTTGGCACTTTCTCCATATTTCCCCAAAATCTGGATCAGCGGCATACATCTCCTTGATAGCATCAAACCCGACCAGTTGCGCTTGCACTGTCTGCAGTAGAGCATAACGCCGGCTTAACGCGTCTGCCACCTGGTTGTCCTTGCCAGATTTATGTTTGAGCACAAACTGAAATGCAGATAAAAATTCTGCCCATGTAGCATGCCTCCCTCTCAGTTTTTTTTTGCTGTCTAAGAATTTCAACGCGGCGTGATCTGTGAACAAGATAAATTCTTTGCATAATAGATAATGACTCCAGTGGTGTAAGGTTCTTACAATCGCGTAGAATTCCTTATCATATGTAGAATATCTTTGACGCACTTCGTTCAGTTTCTCGCTGAAATACGCAATTGGTTTCCCCTCTTGACTAAGGACCGCTCCTATACCAATATTAGACGCATCACACTCAACCTGGAATAGCTTGTCGAAATCAGGAAGGCGTAAGACGGGCGTCGAAGTCATCTGCCTTTTCAGCTCATCAAAACTGCCCTGAGCCTCTTGATTCCAGCAGAAAGTACTGGCTTTGAGTAATTCAGTGAGGGGTGCGGCAATGGTGCTGAAACGGGCAATAAAGCGTCGGTAGAATGATGCCAGACCGTGAAACCTTCTTACGTCGGTGAATGAGCACGGGATGGGCCAAGTAACGATGGCTCTGATTTTCTCTGGATCTACCTCGATCCCTTCTGCCGAGAGGATGAACCCCAGGAATTGGATCCAGGAATCCAAGAAATGACATTTTCTTGGATGACAGTAGAGGCGCTGCTCTTTTAAAATCTGTAATACCTGTTTCAGATGCTGCATATGGGACTGTAAGTCTTTACTGTATATCAGAATGTCGTCGAAATAGACGATCACACAATGGCTCAGTAACGGTTGAAAGATCTGATTCATGAGGCGCATAAAGGTACTGGGCGCATTTGACAGCCCGAAGGGCATAACCAGCCACTCGTACAACCCATCACGTACCTTGAACGCCGTCTTCCATTCATCTCCTTCTCTCACGCGAATCTGATGATATCCGCTTCTTAAGTCCAGTTTGGAGAAGACAGCAGCTCCTTGTAACTGATCGAATAGATCATCGATACGCAGAATGGGAAAGCGGTAACGCACCGTGATCTTATTGATCGCTCGACTGTCTACGCACATTCGATACGATCCATCCTTCTTGGGGACCAGCAACGCCGGAACAGCGCAAGGACTGGTACTGGGGCGAATATAACCTCTGTTCAGCAAGTCTTCCACTTGCCTTTTTAATTCCAAATGTTCATCAGGGCGAAGTCGATAAGGTGGACGGTTGGGCAGTGAAGCTCCAGGAACGAGATCTATGGCGTGCTGAATTTCACGCAAGGGTGGCAACCCCGCCGGCAATTCCTCCTTCCACACTTCCTGGTATTCTTTTAGTAAGGGCTGCAGCTCCGGAGGACAGGAGAATGTGTCGTTCGTCGCCTTCTTAACCAGTACCAGATAACCCCCTTCTGCTTGTTGAATGGCTGTCTTACACTCGGCCTGGCTCACCATCAGCTGGACATTTCCAGCTTCTTCGATGGGAAATTTGACCGGCATCAGTGCAATGGTTTCCCGTCCCTGAGTTAAAGTGTAAGTGTTAGTAGCACCATTATGGATGGTGTTTCTGTCAAATTGCCAAGGTCTACCCAAAAGCAAATGACAGGCATCCATGGGAAGGACATCACACCAGACTTGATCCCTGAATTTGCCAATCGAGAAATGGACGAGACAGCGTTTTGTAACTTCGATCTTATTATCCTTCTGGATCCACGTCAGTGCATACGGTTGAGGATGTTTCACAGTGGGTAATTCCAGTTTTTCTACCAAGGCACACGAGGCTATGTTTTCACAACTGCCACTGTCTACAATCACTTGACAAACCCGATCATTAATAGTACATCTTGTGCGAAACAAATTATGCCATTGCTCGGGTTCTTCCTTGTGCCCGCTCAATAATCTTAGAAGCACCAGCAAATTACCTTCATCAGCTTCAATGACGGTGGGCTGAGTCACGTTTCCATGGTCAACAAGATCATCGGTTATATGGCCGTCCCCCTGTTCCGGATCTTCTTCCAAGATTGTCACAATTCTTCGGGTAGGACAGTTAGAGGCTATGTGGCCAAAGCCTTGGCACTTGAAGCACTTCCGTGCCGGAGTTCCTCCGATAGCGGACGCAGTCCACTGTCGGCCCGTGGGCTTTTCTGAAGGTCCCGGAAGCTTTTCTGGGACAACTGCCGTTCCTCCTCTCGTAAACGGCATAGTTTTCTCCCCTCCTGAATCTTTAGCCTTGAATGGGACGTTCTTGGATACTTTATGCTACCTTTCGACTTGCAGGGCCAAATTGACCGCATCTTGAAGGGTCCAATGCGGCTGTAGTTGCACGACATGAGCAATCGAGGGTTGTAATCCTTCCAAGAATCGGGCTATAGTATTTTCTACAGGCTCATTCAGGTCACATTTTAGAGAGAGCTGCTCAAATTCGGCTACATACTCTTCTACGGATAGATTCTGTTGTTGGAGTCGATGCAACCTCAAGAACAAGTTCCGTCGATGGTAGTCAGTGAGGTATTTTCGCTGCATTTCTTTCTTCATCTTTTCCCAGCTAACGATCTTGCTCCTTCCTTCTCGTTCCCGACTACGTTTCAGGTTCTCCCACCACAACGAGGCTCCTTTTTTTAACTTGATTGCCACCAGCTTAACAATCCTTTCTGCCGGAATTTCCTTGAAATCGAGAATACGTTCGACTGTATGCAACCAGTCTAAGAATTCATCAGGATCCATCCGTCCTTCGAATTCTGGAAGATCAATCTTGATTCCACTGTCTATATGTCCTCGAGGCCTATCCTGTTCCCATCTTCGCGGACGAACTTCTTCATCGCTAGATGCTTCCTGGTGGAATGGATTGACGTTCTCTTCTTCTACTTGTTGATCTCGTCGATTTAATTCTTGTTGCAACCTTTGAATCTCCCTTTGCAAGTCTTCAACCACCGTGTCATGTACTGGACGCTGGCGGTTCCTCCGCGGCGGCATTTTGCCGGCTCTGATACCAAGGCTGAAGACCCGACGTCCTGCTGGAGACCCGACGCCCTGCTGGAGGCCCGACGTCCTGCTTAAGGCCCGACGTTCTGCCAAAGACCCGACGTCCTGCCGAAGACCCGACGTCACTCAAGGCCCGACATTCAGACCCCACGCTCAGCTCACGTCCGGACTATCGACATCCGATCTTCCAAGTGATACTGGGTCTAACACCCGACTCCTTTTTGATAGTAACCAGTTGTAATCTGAACACCCCTGAAGGTGATTCAACCATTTGTAACCGATTCAAAGTTCTAGTGGAATCATTTTCAATTGGGCTAGGCCCCGTGGTTTTTTCCCTTTTCAAGGGTTTTCCATGTTAAAAATCTTGTGTTCTCTGTGTGTGAGCTAGTTATCCGTTCAACGCTAAGACGCAGAATTAAACCTCTATCGCCGCGTATTTTCTAGCCCGCAACAGTTGTAAAGGAAATGATAAATAATCTCATATTTTAACGCTAAATTTATCTCTTCAGCATGCATGCAGGAATTCGTCAATTATATCTTATCTAACTTCGGAATTAGTGAAAAGGCTGAAGCCAAATCTAGTTAATTAATACATACGATCAAATTAAGGCTTGGGTTTGAAAGCCGTTCCAAACAAGTCTAAGGTTTCGTTTGGGACGGCTTTTTTATTGCTTTCTAAAACGGAGTTTTTGTACAAATTTTTTTATTTTTTAATAAAACTCCGTTTTAGAAAGCAATAAAAAAGTCGTCCCAAACGAAGCCTAAGTCGCAAAGATGGTGAGATTATTCATTCACTAATTAGAATTGATTTATTTATACATTTTTTTTCAAATGAGGAAGTTGGTGGGAATTGCTAAAATAACAATAACAGAAGCCACATATGTACTAAAACGGCCTTTAATTAACTGATTAATAATAAACCAAGCGCGAACAAGAATACTATTAATTGCTTGTTTGCCAACTAATTATGATCTACCTCACTACGACCAATTCTAAGCTTACGAAAAATTAATTTTGTATTCTCTGTATGAGTACTTTGTACTAATGAAGTTGTACAATAAGTTTTTCACCGAATACTGTTCGAACCTCCAGCCCGTGCTCGATTCCCCCCCACCCTCGGAGTGGCATCACCTCCCCTCCCCCGATCCCCCCCCTCCTCGGAGTGGCAGCGCCTCTTAAGTGGGGTCCAACCAAGTGCGGGCTAGTAGGTTTATGGGGTGGGTGCCACTTTTAGGTCAGCTGAGGATTAGTCAAGCTGCGAAGCGCCCTTTCGGGGGTGGCATCGGGTGGATATATACCCCGATCCTCCCCAAAAGATAAAAAGAAGTTTTTCATATATATATATATAAAATAAATCATTAAGGTTATACATTATTTGTTTATCGACTTAAAAGTATTTTTTTTTTCTGATTTGAATATTGATAGGAAGGTGAGCTAACACAAGACCAGCATAAATAACAGACGCCTCTTTATATTCTCTTTTTCTCTCTCTTTCTGTGCTCAGTTTTTGCAAGCGTCAAACCAAACTCAGCTAATCAGCAAAACGCCACCAACTAATTAAACTACTTTATAATTAATAAAGATTAATTAACCAAAATTGTTACAAAATCAGAAAATTTAAGTATCAGCTCTCACTTAATTCCCCTATAAATACCACATGCATTAGCCTTCTCCTTCCACCATCTCCAGGCTCTTCAATCTTCTCTCAAAATGGCCTCCAAATCTCTGACTATCACCTGCTCTCTTCTTCTGGCTCTCATCTTCTCAGGCAACTCAGCTTGCAATGCCGCTCGAGTTCTGTTAGAAGAAACTCCAAAGGAGGAATACCCATCGCTGCCTAAGCTAGAATTGCCTCCTTTACCTGAATTCCCAAAGCTAGAGTTGCCTCCGCTGCCGGAAATTCCTCACGAGTTACCCAAACCGGAGTTGCCTCCATTGCCGGAGATTCCACATGACTTGCCCAAGCCAGAACTGCCGCACTTGCCGGAAATCCCTCATGAGCTCCCCAAGCCAGAGTTGCCACCTTTGCCAGAGATCCCTCATGAGCTCCCCAAGCCAGAGTTGCCGCCGTTGCCGGAGATACCACATGAATTGCCCAAGCCGGAGGTTCCGGAGATACCGCACCAGCAGCCAGAAGAGCCCCACCATCCTTGATATGTGTTCTGTGGGTTTGAACATTGAAGTTGTTTCCTTTTGATTCTATCATCTGATCGTATGTTGCTTTCTGAATTTTTCTTTTTGATTTTTGAATTGTTGGTTGTGTGTTTATGTACTTGTTATACGTACATTTGTGGTCTCTCTGTCGTGCATTAGTTTGTTGGTGGATTCCAAATAATTTTTTTCTCTACATCGATCTATTTGGCGCTTCTCTTTATTATTTGATGTTACTCTATTACTTTTTTTTTTTTCATTTAAAGAAGAAATGATCATCTTCTTAATATGATCATCTTAATATGAAAAATATATATATGAAAGAGAAAAAAAACTAACTATAAAACTAAAATTAAGAAAGTAAAAAAATGAAAACAAGCTAAGACAGTACGATTAACTACTCTTAATATAAAAAAGTATGTTATTCATCCCAAGCAAATTTTTAAGAAGGGCTGATATATGTCACAATTTGACCCAATACAATCTGCTATGTTGAAGCATGTCACATCGTGTGAAGGTCATAGTAGGTGACCTATTTCACGGGACCTAATTGGGTATTTTTTCTTATTTTATATTTTTTTTATTCACAATTCAGAGACTTCTACAATATCAGATAATAATAATCATAAATTTTTCATCATCATTTCATTTCAATTCATTTATACTGTTAAAAGAGTAATACACAATAATACAAGTATAATCTTTTTCTAAACCAACATGCATATATAATAACCTATTTGCAAAAAGAATTCATCTATATATAAGAAACATGCTTATAATAGACTTCAACATCAATCAACAATCTCTACTAAAATGAGGCCTTATCCGTTCCTGAAATAACATCTAAATAAAATAAAGATGAGTAACATTTGTTCAATAGGCTACTTGAGATCTCTACATAATTCAATATCTATATAAAATAATATACATAATAATTGAATATTTAATGAACAATAAAATATACTTTTGCACACTTGTGTAAACATCATATCAGGAATGAAATGAATAATAGAAAAAAATAACATATCATTTTAAAATACATTCCACATTTTCTTATACTTTATACCTTCATTTTAACTTATACCTCTGCTTGATCATATTTTTCATTAGTCCCTTATAACTGTACTTATTCATTTTTTTAGTTGAAACCCACAAAGGGGCCTACGCGTTAATATAATTCAAAATTACAAGTCCTTAAGGGGTAAATCAGCCCGCTAATGCTCGAAGAGCTACAATCATTTAAAGAAAGAAAACCTAAGGGCCGATCCTCCCCATCTAAACAAAATACAAAATTGCCTAGATACATTCTAAGGCGGCACAAAGGAAGCGCCCAAAAAATAGAAAGCTCCAGAATAAAACAATCAGCACAAACTTTTTGGCAAAAAATCCCCTCCAGGTCATTGAAAACCTGCAAAAAATTCACAACAAAGCCTAAAACTAAAAAAACAAACAAACATAAAAAATTACCAGCCATCCACGGATTAAATCCTTCATGTTCCAGCCACATAAACACATTCATCTTACATATCTTTAGGCATAAAATTTATATTTCCTCCTTTCTCAATCCTTTCCCACTGTATTTTTATTCAAAATATAAATATGTAAATATTAATATTTTCAATATACATAAACAACATTCAACTTGATACAAAAAAATGTATAAAATTTCACATATAAAATATAAATAGTAGTGTTCTTAAGGTAAACTTGCATACACATTCAACATTAGCAAATTAAAAAATTATTCATGAGTAACATTCACAACAATATTTTAAAGTATAAGTTATTTTGAAGCAATTTCTATTAGTGTCCATACTTAAATACTTAAAATATTATACAATTCAAAATACCTGATGAAAATTTACATTTTACCTATCAATGTGATCAAAATATTTTATTTTGCCACACTAAAATTTACAAGATGAAAAGTTTCTAAATCAATGTAAATTTGTGTTTATATAAAATTAAACCAAATAAAATATCAAATATATCACAAAAATAACAATTTATAAATCTAAAGTACAATAACGATAACTATCTTAATACGTAGGGCTGCAAACGAATCGAGCCGAGCCGAGTATGTGAGTGTTCATGTTTGTGTTCATTTAATATCATTGATACGTCATCACAAAATTATCTTAATTGGGCACGAATCTCGATGCAAAATCAAATTGGAAACTTCTGAAATTAATTTCAGGAGCATATGAACTCCGATTTCAGCGAGCTTACAGTCAAACTGAGCGTCTCGGAAATACGAATCCAACGACACCAAGATCAACCCAATCCGAGCCCAAATGAGTCCGAATCAAAGGTTCGAAGCGCTGTAGGGAGGTTCAAACCACAATTTGAGTTACCAAACGATCTCCGATTTTGACGAGCTTAT